TTATCATATCAATGAAATCATGTTAATTTCTATTACTTTTGGGAATGGAAACTTTTGAAAGAAAAGAAAGAAGCAAATAGAGGGGTAAATCTCATAGTCCAACGTGTGACTCAAGACTGTAGCAGTTGGTTTTCCGTGGTGGTTAAAGAGTCTCTTTGACAGTGAGAATGTTCTTCCCTCTTGTTTGGCTCCTACATCTTGATCTTAATTATGGTATTTGGTGCTCTCTTTTGGAAATTTTTTGTAACCTCCAAGTGATTCATAATTAGAAGTAGGAAATTTTTTTATGTACATAAGGCTTGGCCATGCCTTGAGTGTTGGATTGATGTACTAAGCTCTTATTCAATCTAATATAATTCAGATGAAGAAAAAAAATAATTAAAACTTAATGTTGTTTATGCATTCAGTATTATGAGTGCATGAAATAAGTAAAGTGGAGGGTTTCAGAGATTCTGAGTAAAACTGAATGTTACGTTTCATATTTGAAGAAAATAGAACTTGGGCATGTTATAGCGAATACAAATATCAAAGGTTAGTAGAGTAGTGATTAACACATAAATTGTTTTTTTTTTACTCCTAGTTCGATGTTTATTTGGGAGATGAAATCTTATATTATATAAAAGAGGAAGCGCATGATAAAGATGCGACACGTAGGCAAAATTGTAATTCACCAGATTGTGACACGTATTTAATATTGATCGAATGATGACATGTGCTAAAAATAGATTTAATTAAGAAAAGTAAAACTAAAATTGTACAACGAACAAAATAATTGTAAAATAACTAACCAAATAGTAAAAAAAAATTCTTATTGTTCAAACTAATGAATAAAAAAGAAAATTTCTAATAGTTCATACTAACTAGATTAAACAAATCTAATAGTTTAAACTAATTATCAAATTCAATTAACAAAGAAAATAGAGAGAGAGTGTAAACCCTAAAAAAAAGTAGAGAGAGAAAAAAAATTAATTAAGAAAATATTATCGACGAGAGTTTGACACTTAAACAAAATTATATTCATCAGATCATAACATGAGTCCAATATTGATTAGATGAAGACATGTGTTAAAACTTAAAATTAATTAAAAAAAAATAAAACTAAAAATAGAAAATTAACATCAAAGCAACTAACCAAATAATAATAAAAAATTAAATAATCCTAATTAGTTAGAAAAATAACGAAAACAGTATAAACAAATTATAAAAAAAAATTAAAAAAAAGAGTATAAATAATAAAACAAAAATAGAGAGGAAACATAAATTTAAATTAAAAAAAAATATGAATGATAAAACAAAAGAATTTTTATAAATTAAAAAACAACAGATTAAAAACTAAGTCTACTACATACCAAATACAAAATAAGTCTATTACATACAAAATAAGTCTACCACATACTAAATAAGTCTACTACATACACAATAAGTCTACTACATACAAAATAAGTTTACCACATACAAAATAAGTTTACTATATACAAAATAAATTTACTACATACCACATACAAAATAAGTCTAAATAAGTCTACTACATACACAATAAGTCTACTATATACAAAATAAGTCTACTACATANCAAATACAAAATAAATCTACTACATACAAAATAAATCTACTACATACACAATAAGTTTACTATATACAAAATAAGTTTACCACATACAAAATAGGGTATAAGTCTACTACATACAAAATAATCCTACTACATACCACATACAATATAAAATATACTAAATACACAATAAGTCTACTACATACAAAATAAGTCTACCACATACAAAATAAGTCTACTACATAGTACATACAAAATAAGTCTACTACAATACAAAATAAGTCTACCGCATACAAAATAAGTTTACTACATACAAAATAAATCTACTACATACATACAAAAAAGTCTACTACATACAAAATTAGTCTATCAGACTATCACATACAAAAAAATCTACTATAAAATAAGTCTACAGACTAAAAATATTATAAAATATTTTAATAGGTTTTTATGAGATTATTCACATAAATTTATTGTTTGATAATTTAACTCTATAATATTTTANTTNTTACNAGATTTTATCATATANTTAATATNAATTCANAATGTGTAAGAATATGTGTTTTTGTTATTAAAAATATGATTGAATTTCATTTATGTATATATATTTTTGTCATACATAATATGAATTAAGACATAAAAATTAAGATATAAATTAAACTTTAATGGTTTGAGATATAAATTTAAATATATTAAAATATTTTGTAATTAAATGGGTTACTGACTAAAACTTAAATTTTGATATTAAAATTTTTAACGTGTTTATCCGCGTTTTAACGCGGATCCTATTCTAGTATTCAATAGGCTTTGTTTCGAAGCTATGTAAACAAATAAACGGATACAATTGAATAAAGTAGATAAGGTATTAAAATATTATCCGAATTGTGAATAGTGTATAAAATACGAATAATCTGTTGAAAATAGTTAAATTGAGTTAAGCTCAAAATAAAATACAAACATCTATCGTGTCGGAACAAGATGATTGTAGTTGCCACCTAATCCTTTTGGTCCATATATATGAAAATGTACATGTCATCCTAAGATATTTTCAAATTTTGATTTGTTTGATTCATAAACATCTGCCTCATTTTTACCAACATGCATGTATTTATATAGAAACTACTTTGATTTGAAGAAAGGAATCTAAAACATAAAGAAGTGGTATTATTCTAACTATATGAAGATTCAAGAACTGCCATTCATCTTTTTCCACAAAAAGACCAATCTCCTAATTTTTAAACTAGTAACACTTTCATTTTTAATATGTTTTACTGTATTTCCCGGCCAGCAATAACTCTAATTTATTCTTCTAATTGCACAACAATTTGCACTACAAATCTTTCAACTTTATGAAACCTTTTTAATCCAATATAAACAAATAGTTCATATTTTCTTACCGACCAAACTTTTATTTAGTGTATGAGATTTGTTGAACCCAAAAAACAAAAAAGTTCATAAAATATTTTTCAGTATTTTTTGTTCATAAGAACACTTACACCTTTCGCAGGTTTTGTTATTTGTTATACAAGACAAAAGCAAAAGCTTATGCATGCATCATCTCGTAAATACGTCTCACTGTCTCAGTACTATCTCCAGGCCGTGTCTAATGTACAAAAATTAAAGCATTTGCCTTGAGCCTCGCATTTGATCACTAAATATTACGGCCTCTAATCATGGAAATTTCAAAATTCTATACAAAATCATATTTTTATATTTCCACTTTTAGTTTGACCTATTCCCTTGTTACATTGTATTGAAGGATAATATTTCCAAATTGTTATAGAATTCTTTCGCTCTATATCACTAATTTCCTTAATCAACATGGCAATTGATTTTACATTAGTTAAGCTTTATACATATTCTTAATATTAATAATGTAAAAATATTTATGATAATTTAAGAAACTAATGGATAATAAGTTTTAGAAAAAAAATGATAGATATATATTGCTGTTTAACATATTTTACTCTAAGAATATAATATTTAAAATATTAAAATATAACTAAATAAATTGTATATTCATTAATATAATTAAAATATTTAATGTTTTTGAAATTTGAAAAACAATTTTTTTTTATATGAATTTCGTCTTGGACTCCCGAAAATATAGGCACGGCCCTGACTATCTCACACGCATAAAGACACTTAAGACGAATATTACACACATAAACAAAACGTGAACTCGTACTCACATCAGCAAGCTAATTAAGTGGTTCTGTTTGACTACCCGGCTCCGCCTCTTGTGGCGGCGTCCCCCGCACGTGCACAACCAAAATATCTCTCTTCTCTAACTCTTCCCCATTCGTGCAGCGACACGGGTAATCTTTTCCCGGCGAGCAAAAACTCCGCCGCTTGAACCGGCGTCACAACCTCCACGATCTTCTGAAGAGTCTCAACCCTAAGGTTATCAGCCTCCGCCATTAAAACCGAAACCTCTCTTCATAAAAAATGAAGTTTTAATTATGTAATAAACTTTACCAAATTGAACAAAAGATTTTCATTCTTTCTCAACACTCTGATTTCATCTTCTATAATAGTATCAGAATCAGATTATATTGAGTTGTATTTCCCCTCGTAAACATCATCATGATAATGATTTGTATTTTTTTTTCTCATAAAGTGTTATATATTAAATGTGCAATTTGATATTTCAGATTAGAGAATTACAAAAATATTATTATTAGTGTGTTTATTTTCCAAAATGTCACAGTTGTCTATTTTCAAAAAAACTATTAATTAAAGATTTTTAAATTTTAAATATTAAAATTTTAAATTCTAAGACATATTTTAATCCTTAACAAATTTTAAACTTTTAAAATTAAACCATTATACAACATTGTTAACTGATACATAAATGATATATTAAATAATAATTTTTATAATTTTTTTTTTAAATTTTTTCTAAAAAATAGCATTTATAAAAAATTCTATTTCAAAAATGATATTTCTAAAAAATTATCTTTAACAAAAAGCAAAAGGATCCTTTTGCTCTATCGATCTCGCTTACGTCGGAACAAGTTGATTGTAGTTGCCACCTAATCCTTTTGGTTCAAAGGATGTACATGTCAAGTTGATTGTAGTTGCCACCTTATCCTTAGATATTTCCAGATTTTATTTGATTGATTCATAAAATATCTGCATCATTTTTACCAACATATATATAATTACATTTTTTTTATTATGGAGAAAGAAAATTAAAACAGAAACAAATGGTATATTCAAATTATATGAATTAAGATTCAAGAACGGTCACTCTTTTTTTTCTTCTTGGATCTTTTGTCCGTGTGACGCTTAATTAGTGATGGAAATTTCAGCAAAAAACTCATTTCTATTTTATTCTTCTAATTGCATAACATTAATTTGCACCATAAATCTTCCATCTTTGTAAAACCACAAGAATATTTGAATGATGACAATAAAAACAAATTAACCATGACGTCTTGCAAGTTATAATATTGTATAATTTGTATTCATAAAAAAAAAAACTTAATTAGCACCTTCTGCATGCAGCTTTTGTTATTCTTTATAGAAGACAAAAGCAAAAGCTTATGCACCATCTCGTAACTACGTCTCAGTACTCTCACACACATAAAGACA